TAACAAGTACTGTTAGGCGGCAAGATGACTTTTAAACAACATTCCGATCGTCTGTCACTTGCTGCGCTTCAAGACCGTGGAACTTCTTTTGAAATAAATCAACTGATCAAACAATTTTTTCGGTTAGTCTGAATCAACATTTCGACAGATCTCCCTCTTCCATTTCAGACCAGTGGAAAATCGGTGCATTTTGACTCCTTTGTTCATTTTGGGAGAGGGTTGCTCGATATTAATAAAAGTGCACTTTCTTTATTATTCACAAGGCCCTCTTTCGATTAAAACCTCAAGCCTGGTTCAATGTATTGTGAAATGTTTCCAATTTTTCTTTTTTTCTGATCTGAATTTGCTTGCCCGACATCAGCGAGGTACGTGCAAAAATGTAAACCTCTGCGTCCCTTTAGTTTCAGCCCAGACTGAATCATATGAACACCTCCGCAAAAACTTTGAGACGGGTAGGGCAACACCAAGTGTTAAGACGGCCGCGTGTTGACCATATGGGCATGCTAAAACGGAAGGAGAAAATGTTCGAGATGCAGAAAGGGTCGAAAGAGGATTAATAACAAAACCATAATTAGGTTTATTTTTAAATGGGACCGATATTGACAAAATTTTTATTTTGACCGACCTGGCTTTCGAAACTCCGCCGAGACACTTCCTGTTTTGTATTGAATCGGTTTCGAAACTTGTATGTTTGCTTTGTAAAGATGATAGTTCCACGTGGGAAACTGATGAGGTGGGCTTAGCAATTGTCCATATGATTTAATCCGTTCACAGCTTTTGTTGTCGATTGTCGTATCAGATAAAAGAGAAGGATTACGACTGCTTTGTGACTGACTTTAACAAAGAAACGGAAGTTTTTCCAGAGTTCTTTTGAAAGTCAATCAGGTTGAGGGCTTGTAAACAATAAACACACCTTCTGTTTTTCTGAGAACCTTATTTTTGGACCGGATGAAACTAGCCGCCATTGTTTGAAATCTGTGAAAATTATACTCAAAGCTGAGGTTCTCGTGGGAACACATTTCATTTTGTTATTGGAAAATAACTTACATCATTTTCAGTTTTGATAAACGTCAATTTATCTTCAAAAAGTTGGACGGTCAACTTGGCGTCGATGTTGCCCTATTTCCGGGCTTCGACGTAAATAGGAGACCGTGTGAGTAGCCTACTAATGAGTCGAATTAATAATATTCATTTAAATTTGCCACCCTCATGACCATTTTTACCGTGCTTCTTGATCAGTTGTACATTCTATTTGACAGTGGCGATTGACGAATCCCTTGATCAATAAAGAAAATGAACCACAAAAGGAAACGCTTTTCATGAAAGTTTAATTAGTTACTTCGGCTTTGCTGGAAGACAAAGACTTAACCAAAAGTTCTTCTCACGCAACGAGAGGAAATAGAAGCTGGAATGTCTCGTTAGTGGTCTGTGAAAGATCGTGGCCAGTCATCTCCTTGAGTAGCTCTCTCGCCTGTCTAATGCAGCCAACAGATATAATGCATATGATGTCGTACAACAGGGCCTTGTGGTCTCTGTTTTGGCGATGGCAAAAAATATCTAAAGCAATAGACATCATTTAAACGTGGATGAGTGGTGGGGGAGGCTATCAGTATTGCCTTACATGCACGTAAAAAGTATTTTCAAGCTCTTTTGCAGATCATTAGACAGACGTGGAATGTAGGACATTTCAGGCAGCTTGAGCCTTGACTTTTCTGAATGACCTAGAAGAAATAAAATACAGCGGAAGGTTGATTCATATTCATAACTTAGGGATGATATCATCTGAGATATAATCTATGTCTTTTTTAAGAGGGTGTAGTGTAGGTATGTTGAGATGAAACAAACCCATATGGTCTGACAACCTCGTGGGTTGCAGTGTCACTTGGACATCATCTGTTTCTCAGCAGTTTATTAAGAACATGTGGGATGAGACGGCCGTGATATGTTGGGTTGGGCAGCTGAATTTTGTTACTGGCGCAATTTATCTTTAATGTACTGAGAAAATAAAACTTTGTTATTAGCCATGCAGGGTGCTGATAACTAAGAGGCAAAGGTTAGGCAATTAATGTAGTTATCTAATTAGAGTTAATGTAAAATTATGGAGTTAACCGCGTTTACAAAACCAGAGAGCAATTTATAAGTGAGTGCCAAAAGTAATCTTGAATTGCATAACATGTTGGTTTTGCTTTTCTGTGCTCTGTCAGATCAGACCAAACAGTTTAAACTAGCGCATCCTTCTCAATCAACCAGATGAAAAACTAAACCAATCGCAATTTAATCCCTCGCGTTTCACTGTGTTTCAGTACCGCTGTTCTGTCTGTTCTCGTTGGTACCCTGTGACACTTCCTTTCAGGTCTCTTGGATGGCGAAATAACTATGCGTTTGGCTCTGCAACCTCGGTCAAAATGCGCTTTTTGGGCCGGCCATGGGGTCGATATTAGTGACTACCACAACAGACTTTTTGGTAAAAAAAAGGGAAGAGAAAGAGAACCACAAATAATCTTTACTTTGAAGAGAAATTGGTTGAATAGGGCAGTTTTCAACTGAGCAACGAAATGCCAAGTCGGAGTAATTACAATGGCCAATATGAACAAAGGTTCAAACAATCTTTAGCCGATGAAAAAAGTGCAACGAAACAAGCAAATTTCCTGAAACGCAGAAAAACGCGGGTGACTAAGTCACTATTGGTTTTCGTTTTGCGTTAGATTGGTTGAAAGAATAGCGCGCGATATCTGGCACATTCACAGAGCGAGGTAAAGTGAAGGCAAAGCAGCAGCGGATTACACTCATTACTGAATTAAAAATTTCTCTAGGGTTTTTTCATTCGCAAGAGTGATTTATAATCATGTTGAGGGAGTAAAGACTGGCTCCATTACCAGCTGCTGTTCAGGAAATGATCCCACTTCAAGAGACTCCATGAGCTCACACCCGTCTCCTGAAGAGATATTTTTATCGGAGAGGAACGAAGGACGTATTTGAGTTCAAGGGAATGACGAAAATCGAGCGCAAGGAATAGATGGAGTGCTTTTAAAGCAATATTTCAATGTAAGAGGGTTTTAACTACAAAGGAGACAAGTTATTTCTTTTTTTTTTATTTTTTATTTTTTGCCATCCGTCTCAAGTTTGAAGAATACTTTTCCAGTTCATCTGCTCTTTAGGTCAACTTAAAGCCTCATTGTCGATTGCGAGATTTAAAGGATCCCCAGCTTTGAATACTATTGCTCTAAACAGGAATAGGAAAACGCCACATCACAGTGTGTCAGTCAAATTTCCATGTCTGAACAGGCAGGAAAGCAAAGCCATCAGAATGAGTGCGGTTTAAGAAATTTGGTTTTTAGAAACATCGATATGCGTCAACTGAGTTATTCTTATCAGTTGATTTCCCAGCGACAGACTACCGAAGGCGACGCCCATCCTAAAAATTTCCTGTTCCAGTATAAAACGGAAAACGATTTAATTCATCGTTGTCGATAATGAATAATTATGCTCTATTACCACGGCCAGCCGTCTGGATATTTCAAGTTTCTTTTTTTTACAAGGAATGAAGTTTAACCATGCTAGTGAAAGGATCTCTGTTGATGGAGACATTTAGAAAGCACTCTGCATTGCTTCCAACTGTGTTCAAACGTGTTGGAAAGTTAGGTTGTTGTAGTTTTGCCTTCAGCTTCTGAGAAAGATGTAGATTTCTTGATTTCTGACATCCTTCCGTCGAAATATGGGTGAAAAAAAAAAAGAATATATAGATTGATAAATAAACAAATAACAGAGTTATTTTGTCAAAATTGACAAATATCTAAGTTTTGGTGAATGTGATTTGTTAATTTGCTTCTATATTACAAGACGAAGATGTAAACTTGTCTACCAATCGCCCCAACCCCCACACCTGTTAAAAGAAAGTGTGCTAGCCAGACGAACCGTACAATAAAATTCAGAATGACTGGGTCTTTCGGTGTTTGTAGCGATTTAAAGCCGACGCCATAAAATCCAAATCAAACCTCTCCAACGCTCCGAGAGTGGTAAAATTGGACTATGCTACGTGGCTAAGCCGGATCAGCTGATGTTATGTATATTAAGCGTTCTTAGTGTATAATTTTAGACCTTATTGTATAGTCGTCAAGCTGTGGTACTTCAGTCGCGGCGTGACGATTTAAGTTATTACAATAACTCAAGTCCTTATATCACTTGTACGGGTATCATGAAAGCGCATATCAATATGTTTTCGAGATATTTGGTTGGTTCATTTGCATAATATTTCAGAGGGAAAAAGTCAACGACAAATTAACACAATAAGATAAACAAGATACGTGTTGTGATTAGAATATACAAATGTTGATGTTCAGGTGAATGATGACTTTACCTATTTCAAGTTAACGGTACAGATCTATTTCGTATTAGTTTGAAATACATGACTCCAGTTAATTTTTGTAATAAAGACGAGAATAACTACAGAGTCATTATAAATAAATCGTATTATATACATAAATTTAATGGATGGCGTCTTTGGGTAATATTTACGTGGCTTTTAACAAGCGCATTGTTCTTTCAAAGAGAGCACGATTGACCTATCGCACCTGTTAATTTTTTCCGGATCAAAATACTTTTTTTTTCAGAAACAATAAAAGATATTTGTCTTCAGAGTTCAAGGATAGAAGGTAGTGGTGATTTTTCGGTTTAAATGAGAAACATTTTATAATTGATATTTGTTTTGTGATATCGAAATAGGAATGGCCATGAATTTATGTGAGTAGTCATGGAAACGTGAAGCTTTACCTGGAATGCATAGAAACTGTTTGGTTGGTTGATTTAGGTCTTTGAGCAGTTTCGGTTTGACAGATGAGGAAACTAATTCTTTTTGAAAAAAAATTAATATTAATGATAGGGAAAAAAATAACATCAAGGGAAATTGTAAGCCACGAAATCATATTTGTTAGCAAGAGGTTTCTTAAGCTGAAGAAATCTTTGTCAATCGAAAGGTGTTCAGTATTTTGATTAATGGACAACTGTCGCGTCTTACTGTACTAAAATTGTTCCAAAGGGGCTAAGGTTGCCTGGAAGCATTGGTATGAAAACAATAGATGTGAATTCACCATCAGGATATACTGTCTGAGCTTCGCGGAGTGTGGAGTGCATTCGGTATCAAACTGGTCTTAGACAGCAATTCTCGCTCGGAGTATATTTCGGTAAATTTATCAGATGGATGAAGTTCGTATGCCTTACCACATTGTTAATTTCTGGCTTTTAGACTTGACAGCAAGTTTCCTTGTATTTGTGAGCGCGTGGTACGGCAAAATAAAACGGCGAAGGATACAAACAGATGAAGTTGGCGATTATGTTATCACTGTAGTCAAAGAAAAGAAAGTAGGCGAAGGAGAAGAAACATCGAAGTCACTTTGTCAGGGATCATTACGTCGGCTTTTTCTGTATACGACGTATTTTGTAATGATGGCTGCCTCTGTTGTTCTCTTTGATTGTTATCCTTATTTTATGATATTTTTCCAACACGTAACAGTGATTTTCTGCATTTTGATAACATTTTTTCAATGGTTTCAACCTCGGTTGGCGATGTTCATTGGAGGGACTTTCTCAACACTCTGGCTTTTGAGCGGGGCCACGACATTTCGTTGGGTCCTAAATGATATTATAATCGCTTTTTTCGGGCTGCTTGTTGGATACTTGCACTTTAAAAATTTCCCATCGCTTCAAATGTTTCTGTGGCTGGCAGTGGTCTATGATGTCTGTCTGGTGAAAAACGTATATCTAGGTGTCCCTTCTCTGTTTAGCGCAGGGAAAGGGGAGACAAACTGTGAAACGGTTTTTTGCAAGGCGTTGGAACTCAGTGAAGCTTGGGAATTGCCAACTATTTTCACATTCAAATTAGGCCCGCGGGAGGAACACGTCTATCTTGGAGCTGGTGATATAATTATCGGCTGCATGGTATCGAACTTCTCTCAGATGTTTTTCAGGTCTTCAAAATACTTGTCTGCAACAGTTTTGACATACGCAGTAGCCATTGCTTTACTGAGCCAAGTCGGCGACGAGCCGTATCCAGCTCTTGTTACAATTGTTCCTCTGTGCAGCCTTCAGTTGGTCTTGTCCGCCATTCTTTCCCACAAAACCAGGAGCTTGTTTTCCTTAAAGTGCTTGGATAGCGAAAGAGAGCGGGAAGGACATGACATGAATATTCTTCTTTGAATCTACAAGGTATTAACAGCCTAAGGTACTTACGTCAGAATACTTTGAGAATCGGCTTTCAAATAATACCGAATACGATTATGAAATAATTGCTTGCAAGGGTACGAGGAACTAATTGTGTGAGAATATGCGACAAAAATAAAAAAACACCGCCCAAGGGAAGATTTGAGATGAGTCGTGAAAAGGTTTGCCGCGGGTTTAATAAATGCTAAACCCTTTGCAGACCTCGCGCTGGCTAGCGTTGATCAATTAAGGCATGATACTTTCCCGCGGGCCAGCAGATGCTCCTGCCGAAGCCCTTATAATAGGAGTGTGCTCTCTGGCTTAGAAGAAAAACTTTTACACAAAATGATTAGGTTGTTGTAAACTCACGGTCAATAGAGAGAGAGAGAAAAGGTTACTTGTAGGGAGAACGTTCGTGCGCTCTTTTGCTCGTATTTCATGACGGACTAAAAAGGTTTTTAAAATCTTCAAAGTAAACAACTTGTGGGTTTGACTCTGTGGTAATCTTAATGTGTCACATTTCATTTTCTTCACAAAAATTAATTTTTTTAACAGAACACAAACAAATTTGATTTTCCCAGCTTCTCAAGTGACAGCTGATTGATGGGATTTCATACTAATGACGACTTCTGATTTCACGGGACGATTAGCACTTGTAAACTTTCGGAAAATTCAAATAAAACTTTGACAAAGTGGCACGTACTAGTTATATTTATTCAGGGAAAAATTGGGAAAAATTATCTGCAGGTTGAAAAATCACCCAAATGAGAAAAACCTTAGAGTTGTCAGGGATAAACTATGGGGAAATAGTTTTACTTAGGGGTAGAGCGAGTTGAAGTAGCTGCCGCCGTGAAATGAGCAAGCCTTCTCCTTCGCATGTAGTCGTTCTTTGGAATGCCATGAAACGCGCCACTCAACAAAACGCTCACGTCCAAACCACAAGCCACATCTCCTTTCCCGATCATGGCCAGGGTTACATGATTAAGAAATCCTGTAGTCTCTGGCATGGGAGAGGAGGGAGAGGGGGTGATTTGCGTGACATCCCATCAATCGCTGGCTACGAAGAAGACCATTGAAATCTCTTTCTTTTACCCAAAATGTTTCACTCCGAAGAAATTCATTCTCCCTTCCCAGCCACATGCTTTTTCGACGTTAACCAATAATTGCTTGGGTTCGATATGCAAGACACCATTTGCGCCAAATTCTTTAATTTCTAGCGGAGTGGAGGAGTGGGGGCGGGGAAGGAAGGTAAGAGTGATTTGATAGACATTTCGAAAAACGGCGGCAAAAAAGACTATCAAAATGGAGGCCTTTCTCATGCATGATTTTGACAGTGCTTGCATTGCTCGCGTGGCTATTTGATCTCTGACACTGTCTCAGCGTATTGCCCTATCGTTCCTGTGGGAGTTAACCTTATTAGGATGTTCGAAAATGAAAGTTATTTGACACCCAGCTGAATACCGTTGATGATTAACTTAGCGCAGAATACATTTCGGTTATACGTGTTTTGAAACCTGTTAGCCAGTAACATAAATCAGCTATGTTCGTCCCCGAAGCAAGATAATTTGTAGACGCAGAATGTCATGCTTTGTGATGTTGTTTTCAAACACACAGTAGGGAACAAATAATCAAGATTTCTGCCTGGATTTCTGTGAACTGAAGGATAAGGATTCTCAGCCATCAAGCTATCGGGCAGAAATTATGAACTCTGTAAACACAATCCTTCTCCTGATCGTGTACTTGATTCACGTCTCTTTGGCGAATCGGTTTTTGTTGCCGTCTTTATCTTTACGACAGAGAACCCGAGGTAAGATACGATCCTTTTCCTCTTTTTTTAAATGGAAAAAATTGTGAATTTAATCATGGCATTTGAAGGCGATTTTGGCGGAAAGTTTAGCATAAAGCCAGCAAAAGATTTGCTCTGCAGTTAAAAGCAAACAATCAGTTTATTGTATATGTATTTTAATTACTTATTCATTAGAATGGAATCATAGAGACTCCACAAAGAAGCTATAAAACGTTGTTATGTGTAGAGCAGTTACAACCTGACATTACTTGCGTGACGTGTAACTTGGGGTAGTGGATTTGCGTCACTCTTACATAATGTCATTCCCTCGTACGTGCGTAGGTGATTAAATTTTGAAAGACGATTATCGTGAGAGAAAGTAAGTAAGGGGCGTGCAAACTTTTCCCCTCTGTTACGTTTCACGCTGATTCTTACATTCACTTATCTTACTAACACCCTAAGTCGCTCTCACCTTGTTGGAACTGCGCGAAGAAGAACGGTAACTTTAGGCTAAATGGGCAACAAAGTCCCGTAGATTGTTAAGGAACAGCTCGAAAATACGACATATCAGAAAACAGAGACAAGACAGGCGATTTGATCGGCTTCACCCTCAGCATGCCGATCGGCCCAGTCATATGATATAGGAGGATACAATCGAATTTCGATTTCTCAGTCCAATCGCTAGTTTCTCGAAACTCCCGTTCCGTACAATTGTCTTTTTCTTCAGAATTTTCACTTAATATATATTCATTTGAAAAGTATACAAAAACTCATTAATATGAAAGTGTTCAATAAACCTGAAAAAAAGAGAAACTCTGGATGAGGTTGTCACAAATTCATCACTTGGTCCTTCCTCAGTTAAAAAAGGCCCTCAATTGAAACAGAATGGGAAGAGAGATTTATTTCCACTGTCGAAAGCCGAGCCTGAAACGTTGCGTTTCGAAACCATGTTTCAAATATGGCATTTTTATTCATACTTCCTGACTATCACGAATCAAATCGCCACTAAGGTCTCGGATATTTGTTCCTCATTACAAGAAGAAAAAGAAAAAGAAAACATACCTTTCAAGTTTTGATCACAAATTGCGTATCACAAAATTATTTAGTGTTTTGTTAGTTGATAAGTTAGTTAATTTAGAATTAATTCGTTGATTGGCCTGGATCTTATATCTGTCATTCATCTGTCTTATCTATTTACCCATTTTTTTCTTTTTGGCATAATCGTGATGCAAGATTTAGCATTTACAGCATGAAAATGTTTTTCCTCCTTTTGTGAGCTTTCCTCTTCCTGTGATTGTTGTTCTGGTTGTTCTTCTCATTCTTTTCGTTATTATGATTGTTATTGTTATTATTATTATTATTATTATTATTATTATCGTCACTATTATCATTATTATGGGGATAGTATCACAGATTAGCTGGACAATTTCCAGTGACATCAACTGTTCAACTGTGACATCAATTATTACTTATAGTATTTAATGTTTACACAATATTTAATATTTATATTTAATTGATATCTAAAATAGTTCTATGTATGCATCAGTGACATCAAGCCACATCTTATGGACTTTTTTGTCTTAACTCTTTGACTCTTCTTTCTTCTTGTCAGATGTGTAAACATTTTCTTTAGAGTTTTTACCCCAGTAATTACATGTACTAGAGTAATATTTGTTCTCCTCGTAATTTCAAATCCTTCTGTACAGGTTTTGATGCTTCAGGTTTTGATTGCCCTTGTCACCATCATGATTAAAATTTTTCATTCTTTTTATTATTATTATTATTATTATTATCATCATCATCATCTCGTTCCAATCCTCTAAGGGAGCGCCCCGACAGGAGCCAGAGGACCGCTGACACCTCACTCAATTCAGATTACTGATTGTCTGTAAACTGTTAATAAGACAGTTTTCTAGTTGGGCTCCAATTTCCTTTCTTCACAGGGAAAAAACGGTGATAGTAAGTTCATTTGCAGTGCTCGTAGGCTCGATCTTACTGATTATACTGAGTTTCTTAGGAGTGGAAGTAAACAATATAGAAAAGACGAGCAAAATTACTCACCCACGCTCAATTTATTAAGAAAAAAAGGAAAGAGTTCCTTAGGGAGATTTCAGGTAACCATGGATTAGTCCGCGACGTCATCGCACGGACCTACGGGCATACGTGGGATTTACGAAAACGAGTTTACACCCACGTATGCACAGAGACAATCGTGGGTGGGATAAATTTTGCTATGAACCAGCTGCTAATGGCCTGAATTTCTACTCCTGTGTGGTATGAAAACTTACACACGTTCGATTTTACTGTCCATTCAAGTTACTGACATAGCTAAGTAAGCCACGACTCACTCTAAATTTCACGATTAAAGATTGACCGTAAAGTTGAAATGCTCTTTTTAAATTATAGCTTCGCGTATGTTCATGCACTAATTTACGGTTTCTCTAAATGATCAGGAAAACCTTGTGGTACTGATAATTGTCGTTAATTCAAAGCGGTGTTCGGTCTGCTGGATTTAATCGATCAAATTCCGTAATTTATTACTCAGTTGTGCCATGAAAACTTTCATAAAACCTTCATACGCTATTGATGACGTAATCCAACACCTCGCAAAAACTTGAAAATTAGCAAGTATTATATCTAGCAATTTACCATAATCTTCTTTCATAAGTGTGAAAGTCGAATGATGTCTTTTTTGTGCAGAAAAGAAATAAAACCGTTGCTTGGAAATGTTCAGCTTGTGTAGATTTTTGACCGACCGGTTTTTCCAGTTTTGTTCTTTGTTTGGCGAAGAAGCGCAAATTTACGTTGCTACTTATTAAGTAAGACAGAGAGGTTCTAATGACTTCTCGACATGAAAATGTTTTTCGTGAGAAAACGAGATACCTATAAATATATCTTCGAGATTAAAGGCCAGATTTCTTTGCTTAAGACGAGTACTAATTGCGGAAGTTGAAAATTAAATCGTCTCTTACTTACCACTCCCCAAGGGATGTGGCAACCATTTTTTGTTCGCATGACATCTCTCTCTTTGATTCTTCCGATTTTAAACTTGAGGATATGCTTAAGTATTGCACTCATTTCTTAAACTTTGATATTACTTGAAGTGATTTACATCGAAAATGATTTTTTTGACACCCAACTTCAAGATGAAATGTAAACAATTGGGGCTAAATGAAGAAAAAATGGTTAAAATTGCTTCATCATAGGTTTGCCAATATGAGATTTTACCATAAGATTTACACACACGCTTGTACTATCAACTCAATTTTTGACCAATTTTGATGTGATTTTAATGAACTAAAAGAGTAGATCTGCGAATCTCCCCCTTTTTTCTTTGCTTCTTTTTTCTTTACATGTTTTTTACAACTGATATTTTCCCAGTTGGTTATAAAGACTTCTCCTTATTCAAAGCTGTTTTCTTTTTTACCGAAGGTTTCCAGGCGGTTTTCGGAGAGGATTTTGTCGCAGTGATATTTTATCTTAAATCATTATTCTTTACCCAAATAAAGCAAAAGTTTAACAATATGTTATCGATGAGGAAACGTCACCGCTGATGCAGCTATGAGCAACTGTTTAAACTTTGCGGCATATTTGCACAAATTGTTTTTCCTCGACACATTTTGGACCACTTTTCAAGTATTGATTATAACCAGTCATAATTAATGCACTGTGTCAAATATCAGTGATGGAAAATTTTACGCTGCAATATTGCTAAGTTAGTGTTGTAAGCAGGAGGTGCATTACATTGGTTTTGGAAAAAACCTTGTGAAACGCAGAAGTAAATCCCTTAAGTTTACGCAGATTATTGCCGAAATTTTTTTACTCTCCATCCGCTCCTTCGAAACACGG